AACATGCTCAACCTGATCCAAAATCCAAACCCTATGTTTCCCATCATAGTTGCAATGTCCCTAACCTTGTTGAGACACTAGTTGCCATTGACAATCAACTGTCTACCATCAAAGATCTTCTTACGGCTACTCAATACACTGTTGGAGATATTCATGCAATCTCCAAAGAAACAGGGTCTGATATTTCAAAGATAAGAGTTGCAGTTCTCAGAGTTAGGGAAAATGCAGTCAAGGCATTCAAGGAGGTACACAACAGGCTTGATGGAATGACTGTCTCAGCCAATGCCAGTTTTTATCAACTGAAGGAGGCGATTTGCAACACTCTTACTTATTTCTTGCATCGTTAATGTGGAAGTTTTAGACAATATTTTTTTATGTGCTGTTTTGGACTGGATAACCAGTCGTTGGATGATTTTTTTTGTTTTGTTTATGCTGTTTAGACAATATGTTTTGTTCTGCCATAAATCTGCAAGCATATCATGCTATAAATCGTGTTTTAGTATTTGTGTGTTGTTATATTATCCCCTCTTTGCTGATGCCCAAAAGGGGGAGAAAGGATATATGTATATTCGTGCAGGTACATCTATTGCAAGGGAAGTTGACTATAGATACTACAGAAGAAGCTGACTAAAAGAAGTTCCAACTACACCTCTTGAGGGGGAGTCAGAGATCCTGCAGAAGCAGTCGACTAAAGGAAGTAGTCTCGACAGCACCTATTGAGGGGGAGTCAACTGCACTCATTGAGGGGGAGTAAAATATAGGGAAGTCAACTAATATTTATATATATTATTTTGTCATCACCAAAAAGGGGGAGATCGTTGGGTTTTAGTTTTAATGATGAAAAATAATATATTTGCTTTTGGTATAGGAACTCAAGAAAAGCATCCAAGATCGACAAAATCAAAAGGAAGGAATCAATCAAACAACTAAAGATCCGACAAGGAAGTCAATCAGAGATTGATTGAAGCGGAAAAGAAGCATTGAAGATCTTGCAAGATGATCAATCAAGCTGCTATTACTGGAAGGACCAAAAATCAAGGAGAAAATCTGGCGCTATCAAGACCTATGGAAGGAAAGCTATTAAAGTCATCTCATCAAGCAAGAGCAATGGCAAATAACATTTTTCTTGGAAAGAATCAATCTCTTTCCAAGGATCAAATCTCTAGGGTTGACAAATCTCTTCAGCAACGCCTCCTACAAAGTATTTATACACATCCTTAAGCCTTAGACAAATATTAATCGAACTAAATACCCTCTCTTTGTTCTACTGCAAACAAACATTGTAGCTCTATTAGATTTGTTGCGTAACAAGTTAGAGAAGAAAGAGAGAAAAATACTGGTGAGGCGTTGTATCAAAAAGAAAAGAGTGATATAGAAACTGAGCCATTGGTGTAAACCACACCATTCACGTTGTACTCGAGAAACTTATTCACTGAAAGAGAACTCCCTTGCAACCCAAGGGGACTGGACTAGGATTCACATTGAATCCGAACCAATATAAAAATTCTGGTATCTTAAATTCCTGCACTTTATTTCTTCATCTTAAATTTTGCTCTTATTATTATCTCGTTATTACATCTAGTCGACTAATTAGAAAACTAGTCAACTTGTAGTGATTAAAATATAAAAATAAACAATTCACTCCCCCCTCTTGTACTTTCACGAGGTATCGCCTCATAGTCCCAAAAGTAAAATAGCTCACAGTCTTTCCTTATATCACTGCGGGAGCCTTTATTTTTTTGTTTTGAAAATTATTTTTCCGAAATAGCATCCCGCGTTTTACCCCACCTTATCACACCGTATGACTTCTAGTAGTTCCCTTACTAGCCACGCGTTTCAAGCCCATCTTATCTCACCGCATACGTTTCAACACCAGAGCTTTTACCACCGCATGCGTATCAATAATCACAACGACACGGCGGAAACCTCGTGCAAATAATAACAACCGTACGGCAGAAACCTCGTGCAACAATAACAACCGCACGGATGAAACCTCGTGCAACAATAACCACAACACGACATAAACCTCGTGCAACAACCAATCAATCACCTCAACAATAATCACGAAAACCAAAACATAACAATTGAAACAATGATATTTCAAGGAGAGGAATTTCAAGAAAAGAATCCCACAGTTAAATAATGAATACGAAATCAAGGAAGTAGGAAATTTAACTAAGCATGTTGTACAAGTTACAAATAAGAGATAAGACACGTAGACATGTGAAATTAAGCTAAACATGATGACTACACATGCTAAAGTAACTCAATTAAGGCAATAAAAGGAAACTACTTAGCAAAAATTGAATTTTCAACATTTAACATGTGTATGCACTCGTCACCTCGCGTACACGGCCTTCACATATTGCCAATTACTATAACAGTACCAAATCCTAAGGGAAATTTCCCTCACACAAGGTTAGACAAGTCACTTACCTCAAACCAAGCACAATCAATCAATAAATAGGTTTTTCCCTCGATTTTTTGACTCTGAACTGCTCAAATCTAGCCAAAAACAATTACATATTATAAATATAACTATAATAAACTAATCTAAATAATGAAATTATGATTTTAGCAAAGAATTGGAAAATCGCCCCAAAAAATCAACCCAGGCCCGCATCTCGAAACCCGACCAAAATAACAAAAATCGAAGCCCCATTCGATATCGAGTCCAACCATACAAGAATTATCCAAATCCGACATTATTTCGTCTTTCAAAACTCAAGAATTTGGTCTAAGAACTTTACACCCTTTCCCCCCAACTTTTCAACCCAAATCCTTAATTAGATGAAGAAATCGAAGATAGATTAGTGAAATTAATAAATAAAAAATGAGTTAGGAAATCTTACCCCAACAATCCCTCTAAAAATCTCCCAAAATATCGCCTAAATCCGAACTCTCAAGTCCAAATGGTAAAAAATGACATAAACCCTCGATTTTGAAATTTTAATCTGCTGCCTGGTTAATTACACTACACGATCGCGGAAATTCCCATGTGATCGCGTAGAACAAAATAAGCTGCCCAACAAAATGGCCTTCATCAACGCGGTATACCCGCTGCGAACGCGGAAAGGACTTTTCCCAAAGCCACGCGACGCGACCGCATAGAGTAAAGCATCCAGTCATCCACTGCCCAGGTCCTCCCCTCTTTAGTGCGAACGTGGCAACTGCCACGCGTTCGCGATTCAATGACCCATGCAAGCTTCATGATCGCGTATGACTTCACGTGATCGCATAGAACAAAATCACGACTGCCAAATCTCAGTGCTTCATGATCACATCCCCTCTTCCGCGATCGCATAAGAGGAAACTAGAACTGGGAGAACCAGAATTTCGGCAACTCCAAAATGATCCCAAATGCATCGAACAAGGTCCGAATCACCCCTGAGGTCCCCTGGGACCTCAACAATTTATACCAACAAGTCCTAAATCATCATAAGAACTTAGTCGAGCCTTCAAATCACATCAGATAACGATAAAACCACGAATTGCGCATCAATTCAAGCCTAATGAACTTTTGAACTTCTAACTTCTACATTCGATGTTGAACCCTATCAAATCATATCCGATTGATCTCAAATTTTGCACACAAGTCACATTTGACATTACGGACCTGCTCCAACTTCTGGAATCGGAATTCGACCCCGATATCAAAAGTCCACTCTCGATCAAACTTTCCAAAAATCTTCCCAACTTTCGACAATTAACGCCGAAATGACCTACAAACCTCCAAATCAACATCTAGACACGCTCCTAAAACCAAAATCACCATACGGAGCTATTGGAACCAACGAAACTCCATTCCGGAGTCGTCTTGACACAAGTCAAACTACAGTCAACTCCTACGACTTTAATTTTAATTTAGGGACCATGTGTCCCATTCCACTCCGAAACTCTCCCGAACCCGACACCAAGCACCCCGGCAAGTCAAGTAACCACAAAATGAGACAGAGGGAGCAATAAATATGGATCGGGGCTAATACTCTCAAAACGACCGCTGGATCGTTACAATATTTTATGTGGAAATGACACCAGGTAGCCACTTTTTAGCATGTTGTTTGGAATATATCTACAGTTTATAATGTATTTAAAGATTAGCCAATCCACTCAAACTTCAGGACACGACATCCAAAAGTCTCAAGGTTCCAAACTTCAGGACATCGTGCCCTAAAGTTCAAAATTGTGCTCAAAAATTCGCATCTTATGTCCTGAATTTTAAATTAGCTATCAGAAATATAAGATAGTTAGTCTTGAATTTCAAATTAGCAGCTCAAAAACTTAGGACACTAAGTCCCGAATTCCAAATTAGCAGCTTAAATATGAGGATAGAAAAATTCAGGATAGTCCCAACGTTTGGACAAATAGACTAATCTTTAAATGCAATGTAAATTATGAAATATATTTTAAATAGCAGTCTTGAAAGTGGCTACTGGTGCGCTTCTCCCATATTTTATTCGTTCTTTCTTATTCTCTCCATTTGCACTATGTGAAAGTGTCTTGAATTTTCAATATAATATACACTGCTCACAAACTAAACTAAACTGACTAAAATCTGTGTCTGGATTTTACTTTGTCTATAAGTAAAGTGTCATGTTTTGTGCGGTGATAGTGTATACTTTTTTTATATATCAATTATAATTAACTTATAATAATAAATAACTCCTCATACCAACCGTAATATGATCAACCTATAAAATATAGGATTAAACGTATTATATATATATATATATATATATAAACTAATTAAATTCATAAGTAAAACACTAGTGCTCTATGTAATGTAGCATCCTACAAGGATTTAGTGTTAGGAAAATGTCAAGGAGAGAATCATTGGAAAATTGGGAATGAGGAGAAAAAGATGGTATCCCTTTTTCTGCAAAGCCACCGTCCAAAAAGGTTCACCAAACACTTACACCACTTGAAAAAAACCCAACTAAATCTTATCTTAAAGTAAATGACTTTTTTCTCTAATAAATATATAGTATATATATAGTTTATAATAATGTCATTTCCAGGTACTCCACACTCCCCATCTTACTTTCTACACTTAGTTTGAATGGTTTTAAGGTTGAAGTGAAGATTGCTTCAGATAATAGAAACTGAGTTTCCATGTCTTGGTCAGACTCATCAGATCACAACTTATTCTCTTCTAGCCTTGCAAGCTATCTTGATAGTATGAAACCTTTTCTTTCTCCCTCTCATCCTTTTCTCCTTTCTGTAATTTATCATGTGTCTGTTAATACTGTTGGATTGTTGAAGAATTAATTTCAACATGAAATAATGCAGCATAATTCATCCTGGTTTGCCATGCACAGTGGCGGATTTATTGGCGGAGCCAAGAATTTTTAACAAGGGAATTCAAAGAAAGACAAAAGTACTCCATCTAGAAGTTTTCTTTATGTTGAAGACTTAAAAGGATTACAGTCAAACCACTTTATAACAGCCTGTCTGTTCCGATATTTTTTGGCTGCTATAGTGAAGTATGTTATAGAGAACATATTTCCTAACATAACATGAAGAATGGTTGGCATTTATAGTGAAATGTTGTTATAGAGGATGACTGTTATACAGAGATCTGACTGTATATATATCTAAAAAAGTTATTTTTACCCTTATATTACTGGATTGATATGTCGTTCAACTGAATTCATTGCTTTCGGAATATGTATATGTATGCAAAATAAAAAAAATTGTATACATATATACAATATAGCATTCTTGTGAACCGACTGACTCTAGATTTTAAATTCGTCTCTGGACATGCATACTGATTTTCCATGGTCTTTATACGAGTGAATGACGTGTTTTTGATAGGAAAGATTCTAATATTACTGCGAGATGGCAGAAAACTCTTGGGAACGTTACGTTCTTTCGATCAATATGGTAATTCTATGTTATTAAGCTTCAGTATTCTAGCTATTTATTTCTATTGTAATTTTTTTTTCTTAGTCACGCTTTATTTTGATATTTAATTAATTTGTCCTCTTTAATGTTTTTGAATAGCAAATATAGTATTGGAAGGTACCTCTGAAAGAGTAATGGTTGGAAATCTCTATTGCGACATACCTTTGGGTCTCTATGTCATTCGTGGGGAGAATGTTGTGCTGATCGGAGAACGGGTAATAATAGTTAATACACTAGAGTTTATCTTCTAATTTTTACACGACTCATCACTAAAAAATCTACTATCATATACTAACAAATATTATTCGCTAATTTTTAAATTACGTATTGTCTCTTACACTGTCAATATATATAATTAGTCTCCTTGTGTCTTGAGGTGGAATACTCTCTTCATGCAGTCTCTTATGTGTGTATATTGAGTCAGGGTCAGAGGCAGAAGCCGAGCTACGGGTTCGGCTGAATCAGTAGCTTTTGTTCATACAGTATATTTGCTTTAAGAAATTCATTAAATATGTATAAATATTAAATTTAGAATCCAATTTTTAGCACTTGAAGTCAGTCATTCTAAAATCTAAAATACATAAGGTAGAAATCCTGACTCCGCCTCTGCCTCTGTATCGAGTACCATAACAAAGGCAGATTAACACAAATCACACCTTTTGTCTCATAGTATATGTTTTTAAATCTTGTTAATGGTTAGTAGTGATGGTGTAGGAGTCTGCCGAGGAGGAGCTTTCGCCACACATGACTTGTGTGTCCGCAGCAGAAATCAAAAGGGTATGACATATTAACACATACTCCGCATTGTGGCCATAAAGTAATATGTCATTAAGGGTAAACCAAAAAGTTTAAGTTAAATTATTTTTACATATAGAGGAATTATTTTTTCTAAAATAGATTGTCTCCATGTGACCTATAGATTATAGATTCGAGCCGTGGAAGCAATTATTAAGGCTTGCATTAGGATAGGCTGTCTACATCACATCCCTTGAGGCGTGTCCCTTCCACATAACCTGCATGAATGTAGGATATGTCGTGCACTAGACTCTCCCTTTTATTCTTTCTGAAATAGATTCAAAACTAAAAAGAGTGCCAAATAAAATAGGGTATAAAGACGGAGTATTTCCTTATACAGCTAGTTGTGTAGCAGCCGGCTCCCCTTATGAACTTGGTTTCATAGCATTTTGTAGTCTTTACCTTCTATTAAAATTTTATTTTTTTTGTCACATGCAGGCTGAAAAGGCAGACAATGCAGCAGAACTTAAGGGTTCCATGAGAAAGAGAATGGAATTTCTTGACTTTGACTAGTATGTATTATTATATTAATGGTTGTTTCCCTCTCTTCTAGGCCTTTGATGAAGTTGAGCTGATATACTGGCGTTCTCTTCCAATCGCATATTCTATCTCAGGACGAACTATCTTTAGATGGGCAAAGTGAAAAGTAGGATTGGCACATCACTCTATTCCAATAAAAAAAAAACGCTGTCATCCATGAGATCGGGATATCACTCTATATATTTTGCATGGGGTGGATCAGATGTAGTTAAGGATATGAATCCAATAATTTTGGCTCAGATTCTACATATGTATTTAAAAAATTCACTAAAAAAATACAGTAAATCAAATGAATTGTAGTGAAATTTTGAAATAAAATTCATTATATTTAAATCTTGAAACAGCCTCTTGATTTTGCAAGGGCAGAAACTTTTGGTCCTCTAAAGTTTAATGGTGGAACGATGAGGATGCAACGTACGTTGGAGAGGAGAAAAGGCGTGCGTAAAGACTAAAGAGGACAGAAAAAAGAGGCAGATAGATCTAGTGGAGCAAAAATAGGTAGAGTGGGACTAGGGGCGGATTTAGAGTAGTAGCGTCAGGTTTATCTGAACTTATAACTTTCGACGTGAAGCATAAATTTATGTATAAAAATTCATTAAAATTTCAACAAAGGGTGGATCTGAACTTATAAGTTTAAAAATATAATGTGTTCAATGCTAAAATGATTAAAACTTGAAACCTTAAAGTTTATATCATGGATCCGCCTTGAGACTTATTGGTTGGTCGAGAACATAGGGGAGGATTCAAAATTTTAAATTAATGTATATTGTATCACTGCACCAACTATTCTTTTTATGAGGGTAAATTTTGTATAAATATTATACAATTTTTTAAAAATATATCAACATATACAATTTGGTTGCTTAATAAAAAGTTTAACCTATATCTAAATTCTAAGGTAACCTCCATAAAAAGTGAGATCATTATCAATGTATATAAGTTAAATTTTTTTGTAAAAAAAAAAAATATACCTGCTACATCGTATGACACCCCTTGCATAAGGCTGTTTCCGATTTTCCGTCACCAATTAACCCTAAACTAGCAGAAATAAAATGACATAGCTAATATAGTAGCTTAAGAGTACGTCCATCTTAAAAATGTCGCTTAACTAAAATAACTAATTGGTAAGATGTATGTCGAATTAATTCTAGTATTATTTCATCTTTGATTCTCTTCGTTGTAATAAATAAATAAAAAAAAAAAAGAATCTCTAGTGGTTGACTAAAGGCAAAAGGTTGAATTTCCACTCTCTGATCTTAGGTACTAGTCAATAACAACTTGGTTAAGGAGATTAACCTAGAAATTATTAGCTTAATATAGTTGTACCTAAGGCTATTTAATTTGTACTGTTCTAGAAGGTGTACACAAGTTGTTAGTAAATAGTTGAGAGTAATAGGTCGGTTAGTTTATTCTATAGAGTGTACTGTACATTTCATTTTAATCAATTAAGAAATGATCGAGCTGAACTTTCTCTCTCTATCTCTTCTCCTCTTCTTCTCTCTTCATCTCTGATCTCGATCTTCATGTGAAGCTCAAACATGGAAGACCTAGGGCTTGATTTTAACATGGTATCAGAGTCCGGCTCCATGCAATTCTGACAGTCGAGCTCTAGTATCCTATTAATTTTTTCAATCTCTAATTTTCCCTAATTTTTTTCGTTTTTTTTCTGAAATTGTTCACTACTTGTGAAATCTTCAAAATTCATCATTTTTTTGCTGAAATGGCCATCGATACTCCTGATACGAATGTTGGATCATCACATGCAAACACCCAAACACTCGATTGCAATCATCCGTTATATGTACATCCTTCGGACACACCAGGTATCTCATTTGTGCCAGAGTTACTAATTGAAATAGAAAATTATTCGAAATGGAGTAAGTCTATAATAATGTTACTATTAATGAAGAATAAACTAGATTTTATAGATGGAACATGTACTAAAGAACAGTATGCGAAATATATTTTTAGATTAAGGTAATGGGAACGGTGTAATGCCATAGTCCAATCATGGATAAGAAGTTCAGTACTACCAGAACTTAGAAGAGGAATTGTGTACTCTTCAGATGCGCAAAAGGTGTGGAAATCCATGAAGGATAGATTTGATAAGGTGAATGCCACAAAAATTTATCATATGAACAAGGAATAAGTTCCTTGACACAAGGAATCTCTAGTGTATTTGTGTACTTTTCTAGGTTGAATGATCTATGGGATGAATTTGAGTAGATTATCCCTTTTCCTGGTTATGATTGTGAGAAGTCCAGATAATTTGTTGTGTTCTTACACCAGTAGAAACTTATGAAGTTTCTAATGGGACTAAATGAGACTTATGCACCACAAAGAAGTCAGATATGATGATGCACTCAACACCAACACTTAATCAAGCATATTTCATGATCATTTAAGAGGAAAGTCAGAGAATGAGTAGTGGATCTTCTACACATAATGGGATTCTAGGTGGTGCACTGTAGCCAGTGATGAAGCCAGAAAATTCAATAAGGATGTTCAAAATTTGGACACCCTTTGCTAGTGGGCTAAACAAGGGTGTTCAAAGTCTATTTTCAATCAATAACAAGTAATATTTTACCTTATACGTAGTATAATTTTTCGGCGAAGGGTGGTTAGTTGACCACTCTTGGGCCAAAATAGCTTCTCCTCTGCCTGTAGGTATAGACAGCAATGCACTTGTAACTGTCAATGCTTCCAACATGAGACTTAGGAGGAACAATATATTGTTATGTGATTACTGCAAGATGAAAGAACATACGAAGGATGCTTGCTATAAACTGAATGGACATTCACTAAGTTTTAAGTTCAATAACAATAAGAGGAGAGGAATATAAGACAATAGTGGACCTATGGCTCATAATGTGAATGTCGGGGATGAGTTTCAAAATGTAGGAAATACATATGTTGTGCAAAATGTTCCAACTGTTCCAACTGTGTAGGCTTTCACTCCAGAACAGTATCAGCAGATTCTCAAGCTCTTAAGTAAAGAACTTCAGCCAGCAGAAGTTGCTAACATGGTAGGTAAATTACTAACTGAACATAGCTATTGGATTATTGATTCTGGTGCTTCAAATCACATGGTATCATCCTTGAATCTCTTGTCAAGTATCACCCAAATACCTGAGCCTAAATCTTCCTCAGTGCATCTGCCTAATGGTAATAGTACCAAAATTACTCACATTGGTTCTTGTAATCTATTTAACTCATAAACCATTCATGGTGTACTCTATATACCTGAATTCAAATATAATCTGTTGTCTATATACACTAAAGAGTTAAATAGTTCTATCAACTTTTATCCTGATTTTTTATCTTTCAGGACCTCTCTAGTGGCATGGTGAAGGGGATTGGTAGACTCAGAGGAGGGCTCTACATCTTCAATCCTTCAGCACCTGCTACTACCTCTTCTTCCTCCAACTGTATGACAGTCTCACATCAACAAAGTTCAAGCTTCCAGTGGCATCAAAGACTGGGCAGTGCCCTTATGACAGTCTTACAAACTATACCTGAAATAAATAAGTACTTGTTTAAGCCATCTACTTGTAATTGCCCTGTTTGTCCTCTTGCTAGGCAAGTTAGATTGCAATTTTCCATTAGTACTTCTAAGTTTGTTTGCTCTTTTGAACTAGTCCATATGGATGTTTGGGGACCCTATAGAGTATATACTTACAATGGCTTCAAATACTTCCTAACTCTTGTTGATGACTATACTAGAATGACATGGACTTTTCTCTTGAGACTAAAGAGTGATGTGTATGTTGTTTTAAAATATTTCCTTCAACTTGTAGAAAACCAATTTGGTACTATTGTCAAATGTGTCATGTCAGAAAATAACAACAACAATGACGATCCAATAAAATTTCACTAGTGGGATCTGGGGAGGGTAGTGTGTATGCAGACCTTACCCCTATTCTGAAGGAGTAGAGAGGTTGTTTCTGAAAGACTCTCGACTCAAGAAGACAAAAAGAGACAATATCAGTACCGCCAACAGAAACCATAAGAAAAATAACATCATGAAAATGAAAAATTAGATTCAAGTGTCAGATCAGACAATGGACATGAATTTTTTAACACTCTTTCTTTCAATTTCTTCAAGTCGGAAGGAATAATTCATCAAAGAAGTTGTGTGCACATTCCACAATAGAATGGAGTTGTGGAGAGAAAACACATACACCTTCTTGAAATAGGAAGAGTCTTAAGATTTCAAGCCAACACACCTTTAAAATTCTGGGGTGATTACATTCTAACAGCAGCATACATCATTAATAGACTTCCTAGTTCTTTTCTACAAGGAAAATCTCCATATGAGATGTTCCATGGAAAAACCCCTTCTTTTTACCACATTAGAACAATGGGGTGACTTTGCTATGCCACAAAGACTAAGTTCCATGATAAATTCAATCCTAAATCTATTCTTGGAGTCTTCATGGGGTATGGACCAACACAAAAGGGATATAAAGTATATGATATTGCTTCTAACAAATTCATGATTAGTAGGGATGTTGTCTTCAAAGAAGGAATCTTTCCTTTCCGACATCTTAAACACGGTTTCTTAGTTATTCCTTATCCAAATCCTAGTTATCTTGTCTCAGATATCTTTCCTCCTTCCAATATAGCACCAGACACTTCTACCCATATTGAACCGGAAGTCACTGCACTTGACCCTTCAAATGAATCAGCAGACTCGCCTGCTACTTTCTCTAATTCCCCTGTTAGCTCTCCTATTTTTCCTACTCGTTCTTCCCTTTCTGCTCCTTTTTTGTCTACTGATTCATGTCTGCTGATTCATCATCTGACGCTCATGTTGTATCCCCAAACACAGGTGTTGTCCTAGTTACCAATCTCACAAAAGTCAGGAAGTCAGGTAGGGTCTCTAAACCTCCTATATGGCTGACCGACTATGTGCATCCTCCCCTGCCTTCTACTTCTGCCTCGACTTCATCTCTTTATCCTATACATCAGTTCATTTCCTATTCTCATCTTTCTCCTACCTAGCTTCTTTTTCTTATGACACTGAACCAACCTCCTTTTCCCAAGCTGTTAAAGATGACAGGGGGATCAAGGCTATGAAACTTGAGATTGAAGCATTAGAACAAAACAACACTTGGGAAGTAGTGAATTTGCCTCCTGACAAAGTCCATATATGGTGTAAATGGGTGTACAAAATTAAGTACAATGTTGATGGCACAGTGAAAAGATTTAAGTCCAGACCGGTAGCAAAGGGCTATACCAGCAGGAAGGGATTGACTTTCATGACACTTTCTCACTTGTGCTCAAAATGACCACAATAAGGACTGTTATAACGGTTGTTGCACTCAGAAAGTGGCCAATCTACCAAATAGATGTACATAATGCATTTTTAAATGGTGACTTACATGAAGAGGTTTACATGACTATATCTCAGAGATTTGGTAGACAGGGGGAGCATAGGGTATGTAGACTACTCAAATACCTCTATGGCTTGAAGCAAGCTTCTAGGCAGTGGAATTTGAAGCTAACACAAGCACTTCTCATGTTTGGTTTTCATCAAAGCAGACATGATTACTCTTTGTTTACTAAAACAACTAATGGAAAGTTTGTTCTCATATTTGTCTATGTAGATGACTTACTTATTACAAGTAATGATCAAGAAGATATTAATACATCAAAAGCAGCTTTGCATCAGAACTTCAAAACTGAAAGATCTTGGAGAGTTGAGATACTTTCTAGGAATCGAAATTGCTATATCAGCAAAAGGCATTTTTATGTCTCAAAGGAAGTATGCTTTGGAGATAATCTTAGAGGCGGGACTCTCAGGATCAAAACCCAAGAAGACTCCAATGGAACAAAACTTAAAACTTATAAGCACAGAATTTGATAAGATTGTGAATGAGAACACTGATGACAGTGTCTTGGAGGACAGAAGTCTTTTTCAAATACTGGTTGGTAAGCTTCTGTATTTTACAATCACAAGACCTGATATTGCATATGTAGTACAAAGTCTAAGCCAATTTATACATGCTCCAAAAAAGTCTCATTATAATGTTGCATTATATGTTGTGAGGTACATCAAGGATCAGCCTGGACTTGGACTTCTCATGTCAAGCAATAGCGCAGAGAGAGTTCAGGGATTCTGTAATTCAGGTTGGGGATCATGTCCCATGTCTAGGAAGTCAATTACAAGGTTTTGTATCAAGTTGGGGAGTTCTCTCATATCATGGAAGGCAAAAAAGCAGGCTACTATCTCGAGGAGCTTAGCTGAAGCTGAGTACAGAAGTATGGCACATACAGTGGCAAAGTTGACATGGTTGAATGGTTTACTGAAGGAACTAACAGTAGATATTAAAGAGCCTATGGAGTTATATTGTGATAACAAAGCTGCCTTACGAATTGCTGCAAATCTCATCTACCATGAAAGAACAAAACACACAAAAATTGATTGTCATTTCATAAGGGAGAAGATTCAAGATGGGTTAATCAAGATCGCGCACATAGGAAGTAATGAGCAACCAGCTGACATTTTGACAAAGGCTTTGGGACACCAACAGCACGCGGTTCTGGTATCCAAGTTGGGAATGAAAAACATTTTCCATTCTCAACTTGAGGGGAATATAGAACTTATTAGCTTAATATAGTTGTACATAAGGCTATTTAATTAGTATTGTTCTAGAAGGTATACATAAGTTGTTAGTAGATACTTGAGAGTAATAGGTCGGTTAGTTTGTTATATAGGGTGTACAACACATTTTATTTTAATCAGTAAAGAAATGAGCTGAACGTTCTCTCTCTATCTCTTCTCCTCTTCTTCTCTTTTCATCTCTGATCTCGATCTTCATGAGAAGCTCAAACATAAAAGACCTAGGGCTTGATTTTAACATTAACAAAGTATTTCGGGTCTTAAATAGGAAACTCTATAGATTCTATAATTTAATGTTCCTCAAAATAGTGATAATCTTCAACAACATGCGTGGAACTAATAGAAAACTATGTTTAGTGCAACGTCCAAATTTTACTCGATATCATTAAAATAAAATTAAAAAGTATTATCTTTTCTTTACATCTAAAGTATTTTATTGATCTTGAGTTATGGAAAACATCAAGGATAAAAACTGAAGAAAATAGTTATGAAAAAGGGTAAAAATGGGTGTCAGTTGATTTTGATTTTTATGATGACATCAATTAAAATAGGGAAAAGGTCCAAAGTTTGTTCCCGAACCATGCGAAATGGTTCAGATATGCGAAATGGATAATTAGCATCTCAACACTTTGATTAGCACCTGGGACTGCCACGTGTTCCCACGTAGTCAACTATTAATAGAGGGCAATATCTAAACCCTTTCTTAAAATTTAGCGGCAAATTTAGACCTTTTCCCTTTTATTTTTCCTTACTCTCACTATCATTTATTTATCGCTGATTGTCAAAATATGCCTTGTTTCTTCCTACTTCTATTGTGGATTTTGGGGTACGTACCCTGCATTTCTGCAAAAAAGTTGTTTCCACAGTTCAAATCCGTGACCTCTTGGTCACATGGTAGCAACTTTACCAATTATGCCAAGGTTTCCCTTACCCGTTAACAATGCTTAAAAAGGAAATTATTCAACTAAATAGCACACTGATCATCTTTTATTGACACTCAGATCAAACTACACACCAATAGCTTGAATACTAAGATGAGACAGGAAATGAGCAACTGTTTCCAAGGCCCAGGTTGCCCAAATATGATGGAGACAATATAAGTACAGATCTTTTAAAGAAACTAGCGAAAGAAACAAAAGACTAAGCCTGTTCACTCGGGGAAAGTGAGCAAAGAGACGAGGGATTCATGAGCAGGAAAACGCGAAACGAGCTCAGAACGTTTCGCCAGTTCAAAATCATCAAACTGGAATGCTGGAGCACAGGTGCATCCAACTAAAGAGAAGTGCTTCTCACCATCCCTGGCAGGCGCTTTTGTTACTTTCATGTCAGCAGAAATGCTGAAGTCCCTCGTGGGAAATGCGCCAAACCATACGTTTGGAGGTACTGTATATTGCACCAGTTGATCATCTGCAAGCGGATCAGGTCCGATGCAAGTTAACTTCACCTTGCCATCAGTCTCATTTAGTTCCATCACCTGAAAACACAGACAGTGTCATCACTGTGTGCTAGCTTGTAAAACTATATTATTTCTAGGAAAATATTAGTGAACAAGCAATGCATACTCTTAACAGGGAATAAAAAATGTTTCTATTATCCGGTTATGAATATCAAAAATAAGAAACAAGAGTTCCAGACCAGATATGATAACTAGATGCTGAGGCGGATCCAACCTTTAAACTTGATGGGTTCAACCTTTAAAAATCCTGGCAGTAAACTCATTGTATTTTTTAAATTATGGATTCAAATTTTTACTGAATATTTTGTACTTTTTCACACACACACATACATATATATATCCTCTGGGGGCAGGCAGTGGATTCTCCTCCTATTGGAAGTGTTGATCTTGAAGTCTTACAGAGCATGTTTAACTGTCACAGCTGATAGATCAAACTTCCATCCGACTGTGATCAATAGGGCCCTAGACATCCTTAAACGTGATCCTACTTTGAGAAGAATTTCAACTCAAAATAAATGGAACAAGAAAACAATCTCCTGTTCAATGATATTTATTCTCTCTTGGCTTGGTATAGTATTCACACAGTTTTAACAAAGTGTTTTTCTCATAGTAAATGCAACATACATAAAACAATATTCTAGGCAATCAAGGAATAAATTTCAAAAACATACGGTGGCGAAACGACAATCCTCATCTAGAGGCCAACACTGCTAGCCTTAAAGCCAAAAAGGACAAAATATTTAGTGATACTAACCCCGGTATAAAATATGGATTTGTATGTATCCCGTATATCGTTATGGATAATAGCTAATGGTTTAACAAATTTTATACCAAAATAGTGGGATGAACTATCTCATAGAAGATGGAATAGCTAATCTCATGTGATATCCCTATTTATCCACATGGTAATCAAACGATATTACTAACATTGTGGTTTAATTTTATGGGTAGTAATAAATTATAAAAGTTACTGAAGTTGCCCAAATGTCGTAAATTAGTTTCCAAATGAAAATTAGAAAAAGTGATTTTCACAATTTTCACGAAAAATCAAAATTTTACTAAGTGAAATTTTAACTATCCACTCCAAACTACTTTTTTCAGATTTCACTTTTTTATGTAAAACAACCACTAAGTAACCATAAAAGTGCAGTCAAATAATTATAGTTGCACCAAGTTGGGTACAGTGATTTCCATCTTCTGTTTTCTTTTCACCTTTCTTGGCTTCTACAAAGGGAGATCAACATTAATCACTCAATAAATAGAAAAAATGACTTTTCGGATGAAAGCTTCGACATCCCCAAAATTAAAAGAGATTAATGAACCAGTCGTTTGGAAATTCTTGTATACATTTCCCATGAAAACATTTTACTCTTTCCAGAATAAACCAAATATTTTTCTCGAAAAATTATTAAAATGAGAGGAAAAAATTAAGTAATTTATTTATCTAACCGATTAAGGAGAGTACAATCTTTACTTCTATACATTGACGTGGTCATTTAGAAGTGACCACCTAAATAAATCATAAATAGTGGAACTAAATACCTGAAAAATAACAGCTTAAATTACTACACATGTAACCACAATATTAATTTACGAACTGTTGTGGTTATTTATTACTAATGTAATTTACGATCTACAGCATGTTGAATTCAATAAACAATAACTTATGTTCAAGTTTTGAGATAACTAAAGTGTTACGATTGTGTCGAATAATGGTAACTACAACATTAGTTTATGATGTACTAGCAGCCTTCAGTAACATATTATTCAAATGGCAAATACTGCAGCAAATTTTATAGTGGAGTAACAAAATATCCCCACACGACAAACTTTTACTCTTCCCAGAATGAAAGCAAAGGGGTTGATTTGACACATTTTCCCATGGTAAAATATCTTTTTAGTCCATCGTAAATTGTAATGTCCCATTAAGGCGTTGACGATCTCGACAGGCAATTACGAATGCTTTGATTGATGTAATAATTACTCTCTCTTAACATTACTTAGAACCACAAATTGAGGTAACGCCACCAAAATTTTGAAACTCAGCCATTAGGGTTTACAAAGGCGGTAAAAAAAAGGTATGGAACAGCATATTACACTCTTTCCTTTAGATGAAACATCGTTTATTTCATTCAATCCAAGATACTAGTAATATCTTATGATTACATACCCTGTATCTTTTAGAAATTGTCCTTATACTCTTCTTGAATGGCTACAATTGTTTGCAGTTGGCACAAACTTCTTCTTGGACATAAAATCGTAAGGATAACAAATTATGTAGTAGCAATTCTCTCTAGTATGACCTTTTTATGTGATGACGATCACATTGCAGTATAAGTCCTCTTTTTAGGTTTCAAATTGCTTCCTTCGGCAGTGTATATTGCCATTGGCAACTCTTAAACTTTGATGTCCTCCTTGCGAGTAAGATCTATCTTAAACTTTCGAGGGCATGGTTGTATGAGTTATTAAGTCCCATAAGGAACTGAAATGGCCTTTGAGACTGAAAATGCTTAAGAAACCGTGTAGATTTTACCGTTTTTCAAAAAAAAATGTGTCATGTAAGTCCAGAAAGATGCTATGGACAAGCCTGTTCGGAAAATGGGGGTATATGTTTAAGTTTGTATTATCAGTTAAACAAGCGTTGATTTAAAGGTATTATGACATTTTTAAAGTAATTGATCCCTAACCTCTCTGATTTTCTTGGCATCATCCGTTAAACAAACGTTGATTTAAAGGCATCAAGACGTGTTTCAAGTAGTCGATCCCCAAACTTTCTGGTTTTGCAGATACCATGGCCTCATCATCAAACAAACCAGGGACACATCAAACTAGAGAAAACATTCCCCTTCCGGCCAGGCAAGTACCTTCAGAGTGGGAAATGAATATCGAAGAGTTAAAGCACTGAGATAAAGTCGAGGCTGCCTATCGCTCAACTATCAACAACTTAACTGCCAAACGTGATGATGCAAAGACTACACTGATAGAGAGCATAATGAAAGGAAACTGTGTTATCTACTTTAAAATTCAGGTCTGTCTGTAGCTCGACGAGGCTTTAAAGTGTCGAATGTTAGTTTTAGATTTAGCCTACCGCCAAGGACAGCTTTTGGTGGATAGGGACTGAATTATTCAAGTCATGTACAATCCAAATGTCAGGAACTGCAAAATATGTCGTGCGGCCCCGCATGGATTGTCATAACCAAAATGGTACCACCTATTGACTTTTACTAAGTCTAAGCAAAAAAGGGCGGTACACTACACAAACACCTAAACTGATCCAAACATCACTGCTAGATAAGTTTGTCATTTTCCGATCCATGACCCTCGTTAGAGGACTCCGACTGAGTTCCCCGTTGTGACTCTGGAGGTGTGTCACCTCTGAGAATGCATCGCATTTGATACATGTCAATAGCAATCGTTTCCAGAATTTGCTCAATAGAAAGAGTGTGACAATCCATGTGGGGCCGCACGACATATTTTGCAGTTTTATGATTGTACTTGACTTAGTGCGGTCCCTATCCACCAAACGATGTCCTCGGCGGTAGGCTAAATCTACAGCTAGCATTTGACACTTCAAAGCCTCATTGAGCTGCAGATGGACCTGAATTTCAGAATAGATACCACAGTTTCCTTTCATCATGCTCTCTACAAACTGGTTTGTTTGATGATGAAGCCATGGTATCTGCAAAGCCAGAAAGTTTAGGGATCGACTACTTTAAACACGTTTAGATGCCTTTAAATCAACATTTGTTTAAAAGATCATACTAGAAAAATCAGAAAGGTTAGGGATCAACTACTTTAAACACGTCCTGATATCTTTAAATCAACGTTTGTTTAACAAATAATACAAACCAAAATCTAAACATATGCCCCCCCCCCCCCCCTTTT